TAGGGCTGCACGATAAATCGAAATGGAATCGAGATCGCGATTTGACAGAAGCTGCGATTGTCATGCGTGTCTTTCAGTGAAGCACGGTTCTGTGATCAGCAGTAAATCTCCATCCAAAGGCCAGAGGGTGCTCTGAAACTCCAGATACGCCTCGCAGAAGAAACCCAGAAAATGCCTATCGCTGCAGCTGAATAAACAGAAGATTCAACTGCTTTCATTGATTCAGCGTGACTAATAAACACACGACTACGGCAATATACGGTTGAAATATCAAACGGACTTTGATAGATCCCTGTTCTTTAAATAAACCAGGGCACACACTGACACCTGATAGTCATCCCGTTGCTTAAAAACACCTCTGAACAGATGGACTTCAATTTCGCCTTCAAATTAACTGCTAATAACAGAGATTCACATACTTTGCCACTCACAGATATGTAATATTGTATCATTTTCCTGAATAAATAAATGACAAAGAACATATTTTTGTCTCACTTGTTTCATTGTATTCTCTTTGTCTACTTTCAGGACTTGTGTGATTAAATTTGATGATATTTATGCAGAAATATAGAAAATTCTATAGGTTTCACAAACTTACAAGCAACACTGTATGTGCTAAAAATACGCAACAGTGTGAGGTAGATTAAGCAGCAGCTCTTTGCTCGTCTCACTCGTACTACAACACATTCCTCAAGCTGCATTGAAACGCTCAGGGAAAATTGGAGTTTGCATCAAATTCAAAGCAGATGGATGTTTGACTCTCTGCAGGCTCGCCATTTAATGAGCCGACTTGTGGAGTGTCCGAGCGGATTTACCATCTGATTCTCTGTGCATCACCAGTCTTTGTTGCTGTGCGGCAAATCTTTTATTGCGTCTTCATCTGTAATGGTCTATTCCGTTAGAATGGGTCACTTTGAAAATCAGTGTTGCTGCTGGTGATAGTGAATCACTTTCTCCATCCCGAGGCATCTTTAAAATGAGCCCAATGTGGAAACACAGCGTCACCTTTGGAGTCTTATGTGTCCTTATAAATGTGTAAACGACAAGTTTATCTGTTTTCCTTTTTATGAAACCAATAATAGCTTGCTTTCCCCCTTTCTCTGTCCGTTAGATTGTTGTACCGAGAGGTCCGGTCCAGGCCAAGGGTCTTCTTCTGTCCTGCATCGCTGATCAAAACCCCTGCATCTTCTTTGAGCCCAAAATCCTGTACAGAGCAGCAGGTGAGAGATCGTGAACAGTCACAATGGGATTATGGGTATCTGACATGAGATTCTTGACATTAGTTGACCTGTCCTTCATTGTAACATGCTGTACAGTAAAATGCTTTAAAGCCACACTTTTCTGCAAATTATTATGCATGTAGCTTTTATGAGCTCATATCAATTGAGATGCTACATGGAATATAGATCATTATATTGTGCATTGGGTGTAATGGAATATGTTTGCATGCTATAATGCTCAAAAAACACATCATTTAACATACTGTACATTATTGTATGCCTAGTCTCTCTAAAATGCATGGATTTCTTCAAAGCCCCTCCTTCCGAAAAGCGCAGGGTGCTCTATTTGGCCAGCAGTTGGTCGAACATCTCAAGCGAGTATCGGAAATGTAACACTCCTTACCATAATCGTGAGCTCAAGTTTTGGTCAACCTTTTGTTCTAGATAGAAAAAATCCTTTACTGGGAACTTTGTGACTTTGCGAATCTTATACACACTAAAGAAAAAGGAAAGCATGAAAACACGTCATACGACCCTTTTAAGAAAACCCAAGAAAGGACAAAATGCATGATGTTGCTTTAAATAGCCTCACAGCAAGGGAAAATTCTGTTTATTATAAAGATAATAACCAAGAGAGTAATCGTTTCAGAAAATGTGAACTTTAAAGCACAACTGAGATGAGGACATGAAACCAGCACATCCAGTGCAAGAGGGCTTTGACTTTTTAATTTGACTTAGAATTATTTTATTTATCCGTTATACTGAAGAGACCTTTTTGAAGGATATAGTTTAGTTTTTTTTTTGTTTGTTTTTTTTTTATTTCGAGGGTTCAGGTTTATTTTGGATTCAAATCAGCTCTTTCTTTTTGTTACATGTTCTCTGTGCCTTCTTTTGGACTTTTTGTAACTTCCTGTCTCTCGTGGTGTTTGTAGTCAGTTTGTAGTCTGTTTGTCACTGGTTCCCCTTGATTAGTCTCCCCAGGTGTGTCTTGTTATCTTGTTAGCCCCCTGTGTATATATAGCCCCAGTGTTTCTTTAGTTCCTTGTGAGTTATTGAATGTAATGATTATCTGTTTCTTTGTTCCCTGTGGTTTTTGGTTTATTGTTTGCTCTAGTTTTTCCATTAAATACCAGCACATAGATCCTTGCCTCTGCCTGTTTTCCGCAGCTTCTCCACAACGTTACAGTTTTTCACTGGCATGTGTCTTTGACTAGTGCATCTTTAAACCTATATTTAGTATAAGAAAAATTATTGACTTTTACTCAAGTATGGTTTTGAGGTACTCTTGACCAGTGTTGGGGGTAACGCATTACAAGTAACGCGAGTTACGTAATCAGATTACTTTTTTCAAGTAACTAGTAAAGTAACGCATTACTTTTTAATTTACAAGTGAGTTACTTTTTCAAATAAGTAACGCAAGTTACTTTTTTTTCCCAATTTATTGACTGACAGCTCTCCTGTCCCCAT